TAATTTTTTTTTTGGGATAAAGGATAATTACAAAATTTATTTTTTAAAGTTATTCAAGATGTTTTCTTTAATGAATTCATTGTAAAACAGTTACAAACTTGCCAAACTTTACATTGGGTTTACAGGTGAGAGAGTTCGAATCTCTTTCAAATACATAAATTAAGATAATGATCCTCAACTTGATATTTGCTTATGACTTTTATTATCATTTTTTCATATATTTTATATGATAATTAAATATTAGTAATTTCCAATAAAGCTTTTTAAAGTTTTTTTTTTATTTACTGTGTTTTTATATTTTTAATTATTATGANAAAGCTTTTTAAAGTTTTTTTTTTATTTACTGTGTTTTTATATTTTTAATTATTATGATTATATTTTCATTCAAAATTCTTGTATGTGTGATTAAAATATGAATTTATACTTAAAGAGGCTAGTTGACAACATTGTAATAGCATCAAAATGTTCTACCCATATAGGATCCGATTTTCATACCCTCGAAACTTGTTGCAATATTTCTACAAATTGCTCTTTAAAAATTATAATGGTAATAAATGTTAATTGTCGAGCTGTTATAATACTGTGTATTAAAAGCTATTTAAAAGTAAAAACACAGAATATCTTATAGGTTTTTTAATTAATCAAAAAAATTGCTGATTGTTGGAAATACTGTTTTAGTTTTTTTCATTAAAATAACAATTTTTTCACTTTATAATTATGATATATTTCACATAATAAAAAGCTGTATTTATAATATAAAGAGCAAATATACTATAATACAATTATAATAAATTTGTACTCTTTTAAAATCCATTAGTCTTTTTTAAGTACAAGTGTTAACTTATTATAGTTTTAATTTTGATTCAAAATTTTATTTTTTCCTTGACATGCAAGTTTTTTAAAATAATATCTCTTATAGAATTGTCAAGAGTCTAAAGAATTATTTTATTGCAAAATTAAATATATGTTTTTAATATTTTTATTAATTTTTGTTTACATTTATCTTGGTCAAGAGTTCATAGGTTTTAATCTAATTGATGCAATATGTTTATGATACAGTCTAAAATTAAGTTTTTATAGTTAACCTTATTAATTTTTTAGGCTGATCAATTAACAGAGGAACAGATTGCTGAATTCAAAGAAGCTTTCTCACTTTTTGATAAAGATGGAG